CATTTTTTTTTTTGGAGAGGTTTTTGCTATAGGGTGCCTGCGCTTGCCAGCCAGACAGAGAGAGACAGAAAGACAGAAATCACCCCAGCAGGGGGTATGGCCATGCCGCAATCCCTTCTCCTCCATTCTCCTCTCGGGATCTTGGGCACGCAGGCACATGCGCCCGGCGTGAGTTTTAAGCCACCGGGTCTGGGACATGAACTGTGGTCGACTGCATGAGAGTCCAGCGACAAAGCCATTATGCTACCTGCTGGTCCCATAATTTTTAAAATATAGTATAAAAAAAGACAAATCTTTATATCCTCCTGGTTCCAAAACACACAATGGGGAATAATCATTTTATAATGTCTATGTCACCTTTCTCTGTGTTAACAAAAGAAAAATTAAATTAGTAACTGAGAACTATTTACTACAATTGCAACTCAACTATCAACTAGGTAGATAATTTACATGGGTCATTAGAGAAGAGGAAAAAACATTTTAATGAAGAAGTTAAAAGGAAAAAATGGATTTGAGGCAAGAATATAGAAGAGCTCTGTTATTCTATTTTTCTTCTTTTTAATCCAGTGGTTGGGGGTATAAGAGGCAAAGCTATAGCATACAAATAATGCTGGGAGTAGATATATTGACAACGGAAATAAAAACTCCCATCCTTGGGACCAGCAGATGGCATAGCGGTTATGTTGCTGAACTCCCTCAAGGATGACCATGGTTTGAATCCCGGACCCAGTATCTTCAAACTCACGCCAGTGTGTATGTGCATGTGTGCCCAAGATCCCAGGAGAATGAAGAAAAAGGGATTGCAGCGTGGCCATCCCCTTATGGGGGGAGGGGTGATTTCTCGTTCTCTGTTTCTCTGGCAAGTGCACATGCCCTATAGCAAAACTCTCCAAAAAACCTCACATCCTCTTGAGGGGACAAAGAGCAGAGATATTTACTAAATTAGAAAATAAAAAAATAACTTAAACAGAAGAAGGAAGGAAGCAGACTCTGACCAAAGCAGAGAATTACAGGAACAAGTGTCAGAGATGTTACAATTGCAGGCAAGTTGGGTGTTACTCATTAACGACCAATTGAATATAACTGTCCCAAAGTAGTAATATTTATTAATTTTTAAAATATATATTCAGATGTATCTTTTGTAATTGTTAAAAAATTACCAAATAACATTACCTTGTACAACAATGTTCTATGGCAGGGAACTTTTCTGGCCATGGAGAGGGATAGATGAAATTTGTGTCTTTATCATACCAGCACATTAGGCACTCACTATGTTGGTTTCTTTTCCTCTCTTCCGTTTTGAGAGAGTAGTTACATGTCTCCATAGCTTCCAATAATCGCTTCTAAATGTAAAGAATAAAAAGGGTTAAAAGTATAAAGACTCCTAGCATATACTCCCAGCATATAATCCCAGCATACAGAATCATTAGTTGAGTTCTTGCAAAACAAAATCTTAACTAATGCAACTCTTCCATATCATTACACAAAAAGTGATATGCTATTATTCATTGTTTCAAAGGACCTTTGGATATTGCTGTCATTGGAAATTCCTCTGATGGTATCAATCCAACAGTAGCAACTTAAATGTAGGTAAAAACAGCAGCAGATAATCAAATAAAAAATTGTTTTAAATTGCCACAGTGTGTATGCACTTGCAAGAGAGACAGAGAGAGGGAGAGAGCACCCCCTAGCAGGATGTGGTCATGCCACGATATAGTCTCCTCCATTTCTCTATCCTGTCAGAATTTGGGGCATGCATATGTGTCAAAATGCTGGAGCTGGGATTCAAATTGTGGTTGGCTATGTGGGGTCAGGCTCCCTTAACCACTAAGCTATGAGGGTAGCCTGAGAATCAAATTTTAAATGTGAATTTATCATACTTTTTATATCATAATTTGTAGAGAATTAATTTTTTACTTTGGAAATTCTGTGGTGGTATATGGCCGTGTCCATCTTCCCAAATTAACTTATATACTTTACATAATTCCAATTAGACTATATCAATGGCCTGAATTTCTAAAAGAGGATGTACTGACACAAGTATTCACATGGAATAATTAATGTATGAATAGCATAAAGTAATTGAGAACTCACTTTACCAGATTCTATCACATTTTTAAAACAATTTGCTGAATTTTTAATTTATCATTATTATTATTATTTAATTTGTGATATGGCACATGAACTCAGAGAAAGACACAGAGAAAGAGAGGGAAAGTGAGAAAGCAAGCTGCCTCATCTAATACTTGAACCACGGTTGGCCATGTGGGAGTCCAGTGCCTTTATCCGTCATGCCATCTGCTGGGTCCAATTCTATCACTTTTTATAAAGCTATTGTAATCAAAAGATTTTAGTATGGGCCCCACAAGAGACCCACAGACCAGAAGAATAGAAGAGAATTCAATGACAGATCCAAATCCACATCAAAAATAATATTTCAGATACTTAAGTAGTGATATTATCATAATTAGCTATTGAACTGAAAATAAAGCACTGTACACTATCAACTTTATATCATATATCAATATATAAATCAAATACCAGAATAATGAACCAAAGGGGCAGCAGACAATGTAGTGGTTAAGGCACTGGACTCCAACATGGCCGACTGCAGTTCAAGTCCCAGACCTGGTGGCTTGAAACTCACACTGTTTGTATGTCTGCCCAAAATCCCAGGAGAAGAGATTGTGGCACAGCCACTTCCCTTGGGGGGAAGGGGGGTGGATTTCTCACTTTCTTTCTCTCTCTCTCTCTCTGGTGAGTGCACACCTGATGGGAAAAAATAATCAAAAACAAGTTAAAGAAAATCTTTAAGAGTATCAATCATTTGGAGTGATAATCTCTTTTCTATTTAGGCAAGCAAGAGAGAAATTCAACAGCCATGGATTTAAGTAAAAAGTGTATGTGATGAGAAGATAACATACACAAATGAAGACATAAATGTGACAGTAGGAAGACTATTCTTAAAATACAAAATTGCTAAAAGGAAAAAGAAGGAAAAGAAAAAGAAAAAGAACAAATAGGAAAGAGAATATAAACAGATACTTTAGCAAAAATGCAAAGGGCAAACATATATACAAATCTACTCAATAAAAGACATATGGGGAGCCAGCAGGTAGTGTAGTGGTTAAGGTGCTGAACTCCCAAATGGCAGACTGTGGTGCAGGTCCTGGGTCTGGTGGCTTGAAACTCACATTCGGCACTTGTGCATGCATGCCCAAGACCCCAAGAAGAGAATGGAGTAGGAGGGATTGTGTTGTGATCATTCACCCAGGAGGTGATTTCTCACTTTCTCTCTCTGGCAAGTTCATGTGCCCTATAGCAAAAATCTCTCTCTAAAGAAAAAAAAAAAAGAAAAAGACATGTAGGGGAGTCAGCGGATGGCGCGGTGGTAAAGGCAGTGGACTCACACATGGTCATTTGCAGTTTGAGTCCCAGACCCAGTCGCTTAAAAATCAGGCTGGGAGTGTTTGCACATGCCCAAAATCCTGAAAGGAGAATGGAGAAGAAAGGAGTGTAGCATAGTTGCCCCTCCTGAGTGGTACAGTGAGTGCACACGCCCTATGGCAAAAACCAAAAAAAAGGATATATAGGTCCAGCTGCAACAGAGTAAGCAGGAAGGCATTACTGCATGGTGGCTAAGGCTGCATGGGCAGCCCAGGTTCAGACTGGGTGTGGTGCTGCACACCTGTGGTCCTAGGTAACTAGGAGGCTGGGGTACAGGGAGTGTGACATTGTGAGACACTGTAAAATATTTGTGTCTCTCTCTACCTACCGCTACTATTCTCCCTCTCACTTTCTTGCTCTCACAAAACAAAACAAAACAAAACAAAACAAAACAAAACAAAACACAAAAACTCCAGACATATAGATCAATGGAACAGAACAGAAAGCATAAAAATAAATCCATGCTTTATACTTAACTCATCTGTGACAAGGGAGTCAAGAACCCACAGCGGAGAAAGATAGTCTCTTTAATAAACGGTGGTGAGAAAATTGAATATCCAGGGACCAGCAGTTAGCGTAATGGCTATGTTGCTAGACTCCCATGTAGTCGACCACGGTTCGAGTTCTGCACCTGGCGGTTTAAACTCACGCCAGGCGCGTGTGCATGCATGTCCAAGATCCTGAGAGGAGGATTGAGGAACAACTTGTTCTTGTTATGTGGAATAGAATGTCTTTCTCATCCCCTCCTGGAAACTAAGAGTTTTTTTTTTTTTTTTCCTTCCCTCTATTACATTTATTTATTCTTTTATTATTTTTTGGCTCTTACTTGAGTTAAAAAAAAAAAACAAAAACTGAATATCCACAAGAATAAAATTGAATCCTAACTTATATACAAATAACTCAGAATGAACTAAAGATTTTTAAGACCTGAAACTATAAAACAATTAGGAGAGGTTCAGGGAAGCTATGCTCTAAACTCCATCTTCTAGACTCCCGAAATATTCAGACAAGTGGAGGAGATTTTGTCACAGAATGACCAGACACTACTGCAGAGGCACAAGAAGCATGAGAAAACAAGATAATATCTCTCCCCTAAGGGAAAAGAACAATCCCTCATTCATCATCCACAGACAGTATAGTAGAACTTATGGAAATGTCTGATGGAGAATTCAGAATATTCGTAGAGACAAAAATAAACGAGATGCAAGAGCTGAGAGGTAATGAACTCCAGAAGATGCAGGAAAAAAGAGACGAGTTCCAGGAGGTGTTGAAGTTCTTCTATGATCTGAAAGAGGAAATACACACCATAAAAAAGAATGAAATGGAGCTATTAGAGATGAAGGCTGCTATTCAGGAAATCAAAACTTCCCTCAAATGTATTAAAAGCAGATTAGTCCATGCAGAAAAATCAAATCTCGGATGTGGAAGGCAAAACGTCTAATCTAGAAAAAACAACAACAAAAAACCTGAGAAAATAAGCCAAAAAAATGAGAATACTGTTTGAGAAATACTAGACAACATGAAGCACCCAAATATCCAAATAATCGGTATTCCAGAAGGCAAAGAGACCCATAAGGGCATTGATAATCTATTCCATGAAATCCTACAAGAAAACTTTCCAAACCTAGAGAGGCATTCAACTATCTAGACCCAAGAAATACAAAGGACCCCTAACAGAATTAAACCAAGACGATTTTATCCAAGGCACATCATAGCCAGACTGGCCAAATCTACAGACAAAGACAAGATATTAAAATTGGCAAGAGAGAAACGTCATTACTTATAAAGGCTATCCAATCAGGCTAACCTCTGACCTCTCATCAGAAACAAGTCAAACAACGAAAAAATGGGAAAATATATTCAAAGTGTTAAATGCAAAACAGTTTAAACCAAGAATACTATACCCAGCAAGATTATCTTTCATATGGAAAGAAAGGATAAAAACATTCTCAGGTAAACAAGATCTGAAAGAATTTGCCAATAGCAGAGCCACCCTTCAAGAAGTTCTGAAAGGAGTGTTCTACTAGGAAAACTATAGACACATAAAGAATTAAGAGAACAAAAGTCAACCAATAAAATGACCAATTTAATGTGAGGGACAAGAAATATCAATAACAACACTGAATGTTACCTTCCAGGATTTAAACAGAAAGATTGGACCACAGTAACACTGCATATTCAACAGAAGAGAGTTTGAACATAGGAGTGAACTGGCATAATAGAATTTTATGACTTTTGTTTTTTTTTTTTTTTGGGAGAGATTTTCACTGTAGGGCGCGTGCGCTCGCCAGACAGACAGAGAGAGACATAGAGACAGAAAGCGAGAAATCACCCCCCAGGGGGGATGGTCACGCCGCAATCCCTTCTCCTCCATTCTCCTCTCGGGATCTTGGGCACGCACGCACACGCGCCTGGCTTGAGTTTTAAGCCACCGGGTCCGGGACGCGAACCGCGGTCGACTACGTGGGAGTCCAGCGACATAGCCATTACGCTAACTGCTGGTTCCCCAGAATTTTATGACTTTTGAGTAAAACATTATTGTTTTTTTTTTTAACTATGCTTTGTTTTCCCAACTTCAGCATTTTACTTTCTTTTAAGTTGTTTATATGTTCAGCAATTTGTTAAAATATTTCTCTTGTGCTTCTTTAAATGGAAACATAAACTTTTCTTCCTTCCTGACCCCTCTGGAATTGGAAAGTATTTGGGAGTATTCTTATTTAGTAGTAGAAGGGTTATTTGTGTAAGTTCAACAATGCTGTTGCACTGAATCAGAAATTGGAAATACTCATTATTGGACAGGGCTTTGACTGGAATGTCATATCTGAAGATTAATCAGGAAGCTATGGAACTAAGGTGGATCTCAAGTAAGCCAACGGAAGCTCTTAGAAAGATGGCC